CTGCTGATGGAGGGGGCATATGCTGGAACAACCCTCTCAACACTCTGCTCTGGCGTGCCAGTCCCCCCCCAGGGCTGCCTCCTCCTCCTCCCTTAACCCCCGAGTGGGACAAGGGAGCTGGGCAATGAGCGGAGGAACGCTAGTAGCAGCCAGGAGAGAGAGCTCTCTGCTCAGCAAAGGAGCCTCTTCAAAGTGCTGACGAAGTGAGGCATCTTGGCTTTAATCTCCAACAGATGTTCCCCCTGCCAGGAGAAGGCCCGCAGCGATGGCTGCTGAAGGAATCCTGCTTCTCCCAGCAGCATCCCTGCACCGGGCGGCTTTCCCTGATCTGGCGCTCCCCAAAGCAGCACATGCCCCTGCTCTGCCCTGTCAGCCCCCATCACAGAGCGAGGGAGAGCCCAGCGATACCAGGATTAAATGGAGGTTTAAGTGAAACCCAGCCCTAGCCCAGACACAGCCCCCTGGCTCCACCCAAATTTGCATCTCCAGGTTTTCCCCCAAGCTTTGGTGGTCGGGCAAAGCGAGACAGATGGAAGCAGATGGCCAGAGAGTCAGGAGGAGGGGAGGAAGGCATAACCCCATGAGACCCTCCAAGGCAGGGTCACCCCACTGCTCTTGGGTTCACACGTATGAAACATGGGTCTTAAATGTGGCCAGAGACTGTATGATGGGCTAAATCCCAGGGGGGCAGGTGGTGGGGGCAGCAGCTTGGCATGCTTTGGGTAGGGCCAAGCGGAGGGGGGCAGGCCCCAGCTGGCAGCAGGTTCCTTGGGCACCTCTGGGAGAGGCAGAAGGTGCTGGTGTGCCCCATACATGGCACGGCCAGGGACATCCCTGCCAACCTTGGAACGGAAGCATAATACAGAATGGTGGAAAACATCCACCTTTGCCAGGCTTCCAGGCTCTGTGGGTTTCTTAGTCCTCCCTCCTGCCCCTCACAGCACCCCCTGCTCCCAAGGCTGCAGTCGTTTGCTTTACAACCAACCCCTTGACCCGCACGCTTTCTCCTTTTCAGGTCCTATGTAGGGACGCAATATCTGTCAGTGATCTGGTATCCCTGTCCCCAGCTGCTGCGTCTCCAGGGTCACCCACGCGCAGGGAGGGCAGGGCAAGCCCAGCACAGCATCCCCAGGGCCTCCTCTCACATTGTGCCCATGGAGGATGTTTTCCCAGGGAGCCAGGGGGTGCCTCCGGGCACCCTCACACCACCCAGGGCCTGGTCGCATGTCCCCCACCCGCCTGGGGAAAGGTTTTGGCCGGGAGGGACCCAGGGGCAGCAGGACTGTGCGCACCAGCACCCATCACGCCCTGCCCTCGGCATCCCCCGGCTCTTCGGGGGCTGGAGGT